GAAATCTACTTTTAAAATAGGAAAAACACAATCACCAATTCCTATAATTTTATCAAATTTTATTTTTAGTTCCTGTGATTTTTTTCCATTGTTCTTATAATGATTAAAAATATTGAAAAAATTAAAAATTATAGGAACCTGAAAAAAAAAATTGACACAGTATTTTGAAACTATAGAGATTAAAAATACTGAAAAAAAATTATAGGGACTAAAGTTAAAATTGATAAAACTATAGGAACTAATGATTATGTTTTTCTTTTAAAATATTGAGGCATGTCATGATATGATACCAGGCTTATTTGTAATGGGCCAAGAAGACGTATGGGCTAGGGGTGGAGTTAATGGACCGAAAAGTATGTCGAAGTGTTTATACAACATAGGTTAATGTGGACACAGAAGGGGCTTTGAAAAGAGTGTGGATGAATTTTGTGAAACCTCTCTCTCTCACACCTCACATATCTCCTCTCTGACCATAGTCTGGAGTTTCTTTTTTTGTTCTTTTTTCGTTTTTTTTTTATAACAGACTCTGGAGTTTCTTCTTTCTGCAACTTTCTGTGGCTTTCCCTTCTCTTATGTTTTTTGTTCCATTATCTCATATTATGTAATTTTTACTTAATTCATGTTGAAATGATGTATTTAGACTTGGAATTTCCATTAAACAGAGATTAGTTGTGTTTTTGTCATATTAGTAGATTAGTAAGTTTTGATTCATGACAGTGTACTGCTGAAGGATGGTGAAGGAAACACACAAAATTTGGGAGAAATGAATTTTAAAACAGAACAAAGACAACAAGAAAACGAATAAAAAAGAGAAAGCAAACTGCTGCAAGTCAATATAACGTCCCTGTCAAAACATGATCTAACCTATGAAAGTACTTTCTCCGACACGGTCTTCACCTTTACTTCCCCTGTTAAATCATAATCACGAAGCTTCATTCCAATTTCTGGGATCTTTACCTCCGTCATCCTCATATCTAATTCCCGTTACTTCTTCCTTAAAAAGAAGCTAATTCTCAAAGATCCAAACATCAACCCTTTCAGTTTTCTCATAGATCATCTTGAGAAAGGTACTCCTCTTTTCCTGTATTACTATTTTGTGCTCTGAATATAACGTTCTCTCATGTCCTGATTTTCACTACAGGATTCATAATGTTGCGGTCTGTTGTAGCAATTACCGGAATTATTGGCCTTGCTGCAATTTCGCATAATCTTCTTCGTCATTATCTCACTTCAAGCAAATCCCTGACACGCAAGCCTCAATCGGAGACAAGAACCAGAAGAAACCTGGGTGCACAGTACAAGAAGCCATGATTTCCAATTTCGATGCTTTGGGTTCTGGATGATCTTTATAGTCTTTTCGAGTTGTTCCAGGAATTACACTGTCATTTAATGGAGGATATGACACGTAGGATACCTCCACCTCTTTTTGAATATCAAGGGAAGTCTTGCAATTCCAATGCTTTTGATTCTTTAGAATGGAGAAAGCCAATCCTGGGGAATGTTATGGAGGCATTAACTGATCCTACTATTCATCTCATTGGAGTTTATGGCTTACATGATGAGATCAAAGACACTCTGCTTCAGAGAGTTCGCAGAAGAGTGCAAAGAGACCAACTATTTGACATGGTTGTGACTGCAGCTGTAACCAAATATCCTGATATGAGGAAGATTCAGGAGGATATTGCAAGTCAACTAGGGCTTGCTTTTATTCACGTGTCCAAAGATAAAAGAGCCATTGAACTGATGGATAGGATCAAGAATGAGCAGAAAATTCTCGTTGTACTCTGTAATCTTCACAAGGGGCTTCACTTGGGCAAACTAGGAATTCCATATGGTGCCAATCACACAGCTGCAGGCTGCAAGATATTACTCACTTCTACATATGAAGACGTGCTATCCAACCACATGCATACCTACATAAATTTTATGGTCTAATAATTCTATTTCTTGATAAAAGGCTTGACCTTTTTTATTGAGAGTTTTCTAATTGTGTGTGTTCTTTATATTGTAAGGGGATTATGTATAGTATGTGTTTGGTGGTGAAAAGTTTATTAGTGATAGAAATGTGAATGCAATGTGGAAGACAAGTCATCAAGTCAATTCCACAACATGGTCCCTCAAGTTGAAATTAATAACTCCGTGTATGCTTGCTTTTATAAATATGATACCATTAGTTTGCTGAATATTTTTTTTCCGATAATTAAAGATTAAGATAATTTAATCAATGATGATGATTTAAACTGCGTGAATAAAAGAAATTATATTAGCAAATTTTTGAACTTGACAATGTTAAAATATATTTAGTTATGGAAGAAAATCATGGATACAGCACTGATTATAAATTAATTATCAAAATATGAATTAGTGGTCTCTGTTCTTTGTCATAACCAACTTTCTTTTCTTGTTAAAGTTTATTGTTCCTAATGTTGAGTGTACTTGTTCTAGCTGAAGAGAATAATGTTAATGATGGTAAAAAAAAAATTTGGGCGAAATGCTTTTTTTTTTTTTTTTTGAGTTCAAAGAAGCACCAAGCGAACAGTGAGAAGCATGTGACATTCTGAACACACAGCACAAATCGTTTTTTTTTTTTTTTAATCTTTGTTGAAAACGCGGAAAGCGATGAATGAAAACAAGAGTAGAAATAATAATTATGAGGAGTAATGTAGAACACAGGAATAGAAAACCAGAAACAAGTCCTTTTCTTTTTCTTCCATCTTCAGCGACTTGAACGATGTTGCAGAGAGAAATTTGATTCTGTGAAGAGAGAGAAATGAGGGCAAAGGGAGCAGAGAAGAGAGAGTAAAAGATGGATGAAAACGAATTAGAACAAAAAGAGAAAGCAAACTGATCTAAGTCAATGACCCAGTCAAAACATAATCTAAATTCTAACCTATTAAAGTACTTTCTGCAACCCAAGTCCTATCCCAGGTCAAAAAAAAAAAAAACAAGTCCTATCACCTTTAATTACTTCCCATATTAAAGTATAATCAGGGAGCTGCATTCCAGTTTCTGGGAAGTTTCTCCCTTTCACACTAGCTCCCATTTGAATTATATCCTGTTATCTCCAGCTTCTTGAAGACCGAAACAGCCATTGATCTCTCTGAGTAAGTCACTCCTCTGTTGCTATATTTTTACACGATAACATGTGGGCTGTGGTAGCAATTATTGCCGGAATTATTGGACTTGCAGCAATTTCTCACAGTCGTCTTCGTCATTATATCATTTCAAGCAAATCCCAGACACACAACCTCAATCCCGAGACAAGAACCAGAACAAACCTGGGTGCACGGTAAAAGAAGCCATGATTTCCTATTCTGATGCTTTTGATGTTTTGGATGATCTTTATGCTCTTTCCGAGTTGTTCCTGGAATTACTCTGTCATGTAATGGACGATAAGATACCTACGAGGGAACTACAAGCGAACTTTTCCAATTCCAATGCGTTGGATGCTTCAGAATGGAGAAAGCCAATCCTGGGGAATGTTATGGAGGAATTAGCTGATCCTAATATTCATCTAATGGAGTTTATGGCTCTCAAGATGAGATCAAAGACACTCTGCTTCAAAGAGTTTATAGAAGAGTTCAAAGAGACCAACTATTTGACATGGTTGTGACTTCTACAGTAAATAAAGATCCTAAAGTGAGGAAGATTCAAGAGGATATTGCGCGTCAACTAGGGCTTACACTTAATCAAAAGTCCAAGGACAATAAACGAGCCAACGAACTGATTCATGGATCAAGAAGGAGCAGAAAATTCTGATTGTACTTTGTGATCTATACAAGAGGCTTGACCTGGGTAAGATAGGAATTCCCTATGGTGCAGATCACAGTGGCTGCAAAATATTACTCACTTCCACAACTGAAGATGTCCTATCCAACCACATGCATACCTAAAAAAATTTCTTGGTCTGATGATTCTCTTCATGTATAAATGCTTTAAACTTTTGATTTAGAGTTTCCACGTCGTAAGGGGCTTATTATATGCTTGCTCTTTTTTTCCTCTATAGGATTATGTGGAATAATGGCAGCTGGAGGTTGCGTTTAATAATAATTAATATTGCGTAGTTTTCGGTGAAAGACTTAGCCTGTGTTCTGTAATCTGTCATAAGCTTATGCAAGGTCATGAAGCCGCACAACAATTTCTAGGATATTCCTCTCCCCTTCAGCCTGTTATGTAATTTTTCTTCTTCTTCTCACAGGGCATTAATTTGGTGTATTTGGGTTAAAGGTTATTAAATTGAAGTGGATTACCAGAAATGGAAGCTAGCTTTCTGAAGTCTCTTACCAATTTGTTAAAGTTATTAATGACGTCAGGATGTGTATTAACCAAGTGCGTCATGTCCAATATATGAAGCTTGAAAATAGAGAAACTGATGTGCAAGGAGATGACACACACACACACACACAACATGTCCCTAATTGGTTGCAAGAATTGCAATGAAATTTTTAGCATTAGGATGAGGGCTCTGTATACTTATTAAATTTAGCTTTGATCATTTGATGACCAGAAATGAAAAAAATAACAAAAAAATTATAAAAAAAAGTCTCAAAAATTACAAAAAATTACAATAAAAGACCCAAAAACTAAATAAGTCATTTTTTTTTGTAATTGTTGATATCTTTTTAGTCAACTTAAAAGTTAAAATTAACTTTTGTTTACAACAAGGCTAAATTATACTATTTTTAAAAGTTGAAAGAATAATTTGTACAATAAACAAGTTTAAGGTCTGTGGTGTTATTAGATTTAAAATTTAAGGATAATTTGCTTATTTATTCTTAAAAAAGGTATAAATTACAAGAAATGAAAAAGAAAAACTCAATGTGATGAGACCTGCTTAAATTGTTGTGCCACTTGTAAGATAGAACTAACTGCTTGGATTAAAGAGAGAACAAGCAACAGAATTCCAGCAAATGAGGCAGCAGTATTCCAAGGGGTGTTGCAGTAGTCATGTCTCAAAGTGGCCTTTATGTATTTCTAAGGACTTATTGCAGAAGGAAGGAATTCAAGTCCTTGTGGAGATTTGAGTAACATGACAAGAACGATACATTTAATAATACAATGTTTGTCTATTATACATGGTCCGTACGCTTTTGGTAGAACAATAATGTGTAAGTTTTTTAAATGTATAAATAACAGAATGTCTGCGACCGTCGCAAGTCAATGTCTCCTATTAAAATATAATCACGAAGTTCCATTCCAATTTCTAGGTTCTTTCTCTCCTTCAAACTCCCATCCAATTTCCTGTTGCTTCTTTATTGAAAAGAAGCTACTGCTCAAATATCCAAACATCAACCCTTTCAGTTTTCTCATAGATCTCCTTGAGAAAGGTATTCTTCTGTTCCTGTATTACAATTTTGTGCTCTAAATATTACGTTCTCTCATGTCCTGATCTTCACTACAGGATTAATTATGATGCGGTCTGCTGTAGCAATTGCCGGAATTATTGGCCTCGCTGCAATTTCTTATCGTCTTATTCGTCATTTTCTTGCTTCAAGCGAATCCCACATAGACAAGCCTCGATCCAAAGACAAGAAGCAGATAGAGATTATTCAGGGCCTGAACCAAGAATGCACAACAGGGAGGCATTTCCGTGCAACTCCAATGCTTTTGATGCTTTGGAATGGAGAAAACCAATACTAAATAGTGTTGTGGAGGCTTTATCTGATCCTAATACTCACTTAATTGGAGTTTACGGCTCACATGATGAGATCAAAGACACTCTGCTTCAGAGAGTTCGCAGAAGAGTTCAAAGAGACCAACTATTTGACATGGTTGTGACTGCAGCTGTAACCAAATATCCTGATATGAGGAAGATTCAAGAGGATATTGCAAGTCAACTAGGGCTTACTTTCATTCATGTGTCCAAAGATAAAAGAGCCATTGAACTGATGCATAGGGTCAAGAATGAGCAGAAAATTCTAGTTGTACTCTGCAACCTCCACAAGGGGCTTGACCTGGGCAAACTAGGAATTCCATATGGTGCAGACCACACAGGCTGCAAGATATTACTCAGTTCTACGTCTGAAGATGTGCTATCCAACCGCATGCATACCCATGTAAATTTTATGATCTAATAATTCTATTTCTTGATAAAAAGCTTCAGCCTTTTATTATTGAGAGTTTCCTAATTGTATGTGTGTGTCATTGTATTGTAAGGGGATTATGTATGTGTGTGTTAGTTTTTGGTTGAGACTTGGAAACTTCTGGGTGGTGAAAAGTTTACTAGTGATAGAAATGTGGAAGTCGTCAATTCAATTCCACAATGTGGTCCCTCAAGTTGAAATTAATAACTCGGTGTAAGCTTGCTTGTATAAATATAATCACCCTTAGTTTTTGCTATTAAGAGAATTTAATCAATGATGGTTGGGTTGTGCAAAGATGACTCCATGTCCTTTAAACAAAGTTGATGATGATTTAAACGTTGTGAATAAAAAAACATTATATTAAAAAATATTTGAACTTAACAATATTAAAAGATAATTAGTCATAAAAATCACTTTAGAGTGGCATGATAACCAAATATACAGCACTAGTTATAAATTAATTCTCAAAATATGAATTGGCCTCTCTATTCTATATCATAACCAACTTTCTTTTCTTGTCAAGTATATTGCTCCTAATGGTGAGTGTAATTATTCTAGCTGAAAGAAAAAAATGATGATTATGATTGTAAAGGAAACAAATTTTGGGTGTGAAACGAATTTTAGAACAGACAAAGACAAAGAATAGAAAGCAAACTGTTCCAAGTCAAAGCCCAGTCAAAACATGATCGAAATTCTAACCTATAAAAGTACTTTCTGTAACCCAAGTCCTATCACCTTTAATTCCCATCTTAAAGTATAATCACGAAGCTGCATTCCAATTTCTGGGAAGTTTCTCTCCTTCGCACTAGCTCCCATTTAAATTAAATCATGTTATCTCTAGTTTCTCGAAGATCCAAACAGCCATTGATATCTCTGAGAAAGTTACTCCTCTGTTGCTATATTTTTACAGGATAAGATGTGTGCTGTGGTAGCAATTATTGCTGGAATTATTGACCTTGCAGCAATTTCTCTCAGTCTTCTTCGTCATTATCCCACTTCAAGTAAATCCCAGACACACAAGCCTCAATCCCTACAGAAGAAAGAAACAGAACAACTCAGGGTGCACAGTACAAGAAGCCATGATTTCCAATTCGGGCTTTTGATGTTTTGGATGATCTTTATACCCCTTTTGAGTTGTTGTTCCAGGAATTACACTGTTATGTAATGGAGGATATGATACCCAGGATACCTACGATGGAACTACAAGCGAACTTGTCCAATTCCAATACTTTTGATGCTTTAGAATGGAGAAAGCCGATCCTGGGGAATGTTATGGAGGCATTAGCTGATCTAATACTCATCTAATTGGGAGTTTATGGCTCTCAAGATGAGATTAAAGACACTCTGCTTCAAAGAGTTTACAGA